ATTATTATTATTATTATTATTATTATTATTATTATTATATTATTATTATTATCATTATTATTATCATTATTTGTAATGTTGCAAAAATATAGTAAAAATCGAAAAAACAAAATTATTTTTGAAAATTGAAAATTTATTTATTTTTCTACTAAAATTTTCTTTAAAAAAGCAACTTACCTTATCAATATATTTAGCTAAATTGTTCAAAGCACAAAATGCATTTGACTTATTCTTGGAGTAGTGGCCAGCATTTGACTCTAACGAAGTTGACACGTTCATTTCACGTACGTCCATAAATGACGTCGATGAAACTGATGATAATGTAACATGTTGTAATGTTTCATCATGCATTGAATGTTGTTGTATCTGAAATGATATCTGAAATTGTGCCGATGATATCTGAAAAATCTATCAATGGCAAATCACTTATGTATATTTTAAAAGCAAAATTATTATATTATTTCGTTATTTTATATTATATATTTATCATTAGTCAATTAATTGGATAATTTTAATTAATTATCTAATAATTTATCAGGTGATTTCGTTGTTTTTAATTTCGTAAAAATTTTCAAAATTTTTACAATTATTTTGTGTTAATTTATTAATGTTATTAAATAATTATTCCATCTTAAAAATATTGTTTTTAAACTTTTATTTTCCTTATGAACATTTTGAAAAAAAACTTCCGCTATATCAATTTATTTTATTAACATATATCGTTCATTAATTATTCTAATTTTAATTCATTGATTAATTTAGTTTCGAACTTTAAAATATTTTATTTCATAAATTATTCAACAAAAAACTTTATTATTATGAAATTCACTGTATGATTATTATTATGATTATTAACCTTATACTACATTTCGATTTGTTATGCTTCATTTGCTTTTTGATTACTTATTGCATTATCATTTCTGGTAAAATTATTATGAATATTAGATGGTGACAGGCGACATTTTAAAATTTGCTATTAGAATGAAAGATAAATGACTGTTTCATGATTTTAAATATCTTTTCCTTACATTTAATTATGTGATATTGGAAAATTAATCCTTTATTCATGTCTATTAAACATTAATTTTAATTTAACAAAAATTTTTGAAAATTTTCATTGTTTCTGTATTATAAGTTATATAGTTTAATTTCAGTATAATGTAACTTTTTGGAACAGAATTTTTGAAAAATTCGAATAAAATTCTCTATCAATAATTTAAAATAATTTATAATTTTTACTTTTCACGCATTAATTTTAATTTAATAAAAATTTACGAAATGAAATTTTTGAAAATTCAAGTAAATCCTTTTGTTAACATTATGCAAATGATATAATGGAAAAATTACAAATTTTAATAGAATATAATCTTATAGATTATATATTTATATACAAATTTGTAACATTAATTAGTAATTTGAAACATTAAATTTCCCAAAAATAATACTCCTTTGATTACTTCATATATTTTAAAATTAAGCCTGTTAACCAATGGTATCGTTCTATAATTGAAATTAATTTTTAAATAATTTATTTCGATATTAACTCACTTTTCCTTTTCCTCCTACTCTTCCTATCTAATTAATACCTATAACTGTACAAGTGCTATTTACCATATTAAATGTTAAACAAAAGTATCATTTAACATATAAATTAAAATTATATTAAATGATCCTGTACAGATGAAAGTACGGAATAAATTAAATTATAAATGCATTATTTGATTACTGGATAAATTAAAATTATTGATTGAATTAAAATTATTGAATGAATTAAATATAAAGCTTACATGTCTTGATAAATTAGCCATCCTGATGCTATCAATAATTTTTTTGCAATATTTGATAGCTTTTGAAGTGGGATTGCTTTTGATATGGTATAAAGTGGTACATTTATCCTTTTTTCAATCATATTTCGGATCATTTTACAAACTCTAATTGGTAATTGTTTTCGAATTTGATCTGCTGCTTTACCCTAAAAAAAAAAACATTCAATAAAATAATTAATAATGATATTAGCTTTAAATAAAGCATTATTTGATACTGTAACACAAAAGTACTATATATTTAAATCAAAAAAGAAAAAATAATAATATGGAGAGATTTAAATGAATGAATTTATACTTCATTTAAATTTTAAATTCTTTAAGTAAGAAAAGAAAATTTAAATAATTATATGCTGCAATTATTTCATTTCTAATAATTTATGCAAACAAACCAAATGAATAAAAATCACAAATAAGTTTATTTTAATTTATTTTAAAATTAATTATTGCTAATGATTATCAATAAAGAAAAAAAAAACAAAAATCTTTTATGAGCAATATAATTGTCATAAATAAACATGAAGAAATTCCAGGATAAAAAAAAAAAAAAAGTGTATGGATTGATAAGATGAATAGATTGTGATGCATTTATTAATTTGCTTAATAGTTGTAATGTACTAATTTGCTTAATTGTAATTAACATTTGGAAGTTAACCAAAATTTTTTTTCTTTTTACATAAATTAAGATGCTAATAATTTGCATAAAGAAAAAAAAAGAAAAACAATGATGTTTAGTAATGTATGCTAAAAGCGCTACTGTAATATGAGCTAATAACAATATGCGCTTTAACAAAGCAAAGAGCATTTCATCAATGTATACTCGACAAAAGCGCTAATCTTTATAATCATAAAATCAATCACTGAAAGATAAACTTTGTCACATTTTGGTTAATATTCTTCCTTTTATTTACCAGATTGATGTCAACCAGATTTGTGTCACTTAGAAAATTATCTTTTGTCATTGTTTTAAAGCTTAATATTATGCGTTAATTTATGTTTTTACCATTTTTAATTCCTTAATGATTATATGACATTAAAATTGTTTCTTTTAATAATTTAATTATTCAAATTTGAGATAGAAATAAAGAAAATCTTGCAACTTTGATATTATATTGCGTAAATTACGTCCAAGAAAATACAAATTTCTCACTTTAATAATTAAATTACGTGAATTACGTGTACAAAACTTTGATGTGGTAAACTTCATCCTAGGAGGATGGATGATAAAATAACAATAGCTAATTAATTGACTAATTTGGCAAGAGTTAAGTATGAAATCGAATTTGATATAATAATAATTACGGAATGCAATTAAACAGGTATAAATCTAAATCTAAAATGTAAGGCCTATTTTTTGCTATTGCACATGACAACTAGCCTAAAATTAGCCTAAAATTTATTTCTGAAAAATTTTTTTTAACTGACAAGATGTTTTTTTATAACACCTGATTACTGTAACTGATTAAATGATAAAAGGTCATATATTTCATTACTTTAAATCACTCTCACAATGTAAATTTATCAACTTACTCGAAAATGAAAATTGAAAATATCCCCCAAAAGATCACCATCATGTAAAAAGACATCACTAAAACCAACAGATACATAGCATCCAATAACACGAACATATGGAGATCCATTTAATTTACGATGAACAGTTAATTGAACCGTTGCCGAAACCTATTATAATTTCGATTTTAAAATTATATTTGCCAAAAAAAAAAAAAAAGAAGAAAAACAAAAAAAATTATTTTACACCTAATAAAAAATACCAGGACAAAAAAAAAATAAAAAAAAAAATTTTGGAACGATGAATTACATTTGCAAATAACTCATCTGAAAATATTTTTTTTAAATTTTTCATTTATTAAATTTTATAATTGATATAATTAATGTATTTTAACCTGATGAAAACGTGTATATACAGTATTATTGAGATTAATAGGTAATATTACACCAATTTCACCATTAATATTACCTCGTATCCTGAAATCTCAGTTTTTCATTCTTTTTTTTTCTTTTTTTTTTACATTCAAATAAAATAATTAATCTTTCTTTTTCATTAATAATTGTATCGTAATGAAAAAAAAATTATACATTATTAAAGAACTTGATAACTTAAAAAAATAAAACTTTTGATAACTTAATTCAATTAAACATTCTTCCTTCTCAATAATTAATAATTGTTAGAGTTCTCGTTTTTTTTCCGTACTCATATAAAATAATTAAGCTTTCTTTTCTATTAATAATTATATATTAATAAAAAAATTTATACAAATAATTAAGTAATTAAAACAAATTTGTACTC